AGCTGCGAACGCCTCCCCTACAAGAACTGAAACAGTTAAGGTCACACCTAAGTCTAAGAAAAGAAGGGAGGTAGAGATTCTGGGCTTGTGGAGTTCCTGCTCACACCTGGATGGCAATTTTGAGGAGGGGGTGATGTCACAATGCACACCATGTCATATGGAAGTCCAGGTGTGGTCACCCTCCAGGTGGCTCCAAGGGGATTTGAACTCTGGACCCTTTCTGCCTTTGTCCTGTCATCTTGCCTCAGAGTCACACTTCAGCTTGATGTTAAACCCTGCCTTGTCTTCAGCAAGCATGTGGCTGCTCCTGTCAAACTCAGTCCACCTGAAGCAGATACCTAATTAGCTAGTTATAAGACACTGCCTCTCCCAGCAGTGTCAGTTAATTGACTCTGGTTCTCCTGTTTAGATCCAGTGTTCTCCAGACTGATTTCAGCTTCTGAGCTTGGCTTATTTCTTTGTTTACTCTGACCTCTGGCTTCCCCTGACTTTGGCTTTCCTCGACTACTCTTCTGCTTGTCTTTTATTAAGATGTACAAACAGAATCAAGGAGAGAAGAACTGAAAGAGAGAATGACCGTGCAACTGATGTTCCCCAATAAAAAGAATATATCACTAAAAGTAGGCAAAAAACCCAAAACATAAATTCAATTAACCAGTATAGAAAGCACATGGAGAATGAGCATAAGAGGATGACAATTCATATAGTTCACATTTTTAAGGGGAACTAGAAGAGTATCCCCTAATATCACGAGTAGCCTCCTTTTTGATGGAAGCGCAAACTACCAGATGTGATTCATAAGTTTAAATAATTTGTCTTATTTCTAAACAGCACATCGTAGTGGTTATGGTTCTTTGAGCATTGTTAATGTACTCATAAAGCAATAAACAATTTTTAAGCAGGAAAAGGAACATTAAAAAAAATGTAAATTCAACCCCATGAAGCCATGCATGTTATGAAATAAAAGTATATGTGATTGATATTACGATAATTGAAATGGAGACCAAATGGCACAATTAGAAAATATTCTCCTTTACTAAAACGTGCTACAATTCTCTAAATCATTACAAGTAAGTACAGGGAAAGTATGTAAAACCATTACGCTTTAGGTTCAAGTATTCTGGACCCGGAACATGAACATAATTCAACATGGGAAAGAGTACAATGTAAATTATTAACTAAGATTATAAAATAGTTATATTTTATCATAAATCAGAATTGTTTTACAACTATAAAGGTTATGGCTTTATCATATAAAGAGTTCGTGTTAAATGCACAAAACTGTCTGGCTTTTAAAATACAAAGTGTGTTCAAGCTAAATCATAAAATATTATACTGTACACGTGCGCACAATAATTGCAAGAATAGCACAATTCCTCAATCAAAATGTATAATGAGATTTAAAGGGACACTTTCGAAACAGAACCACTACAGCTTATTGTAGTGGTTTTGGTGCAAAATGACTCAGACAGCCACTAGAGGTGCTCCTCATTACAGTTCTGCAATCTGGACCAACATTCGGCAGAAAAGCTTCCCATAGGGATGTATTGGAATGATGCATCTCCATGAACAGCCAATGATTAGCACTGTGAGACAGTAAATGTGCATACACAGCATTAATTCCTCTCAGTGGAGAAGTTCTAGATTGGCTAAGATCATCATCACTGATGATCGGCAGCCATGGTGAGGTAAAGAAGGTAAGTAAATCCGTCTTTTTTTTTTTTTAAAAGGAGGATCTATGTCTTAAATGTTAGGAGTAAACTTTTACTTGTTTTACAGTTTCCATTCAACCTTGGTATTCACAAAAACACTGCACACGGTAATCTATATCCTCTGATAGAATCTTGCTTCATGTAAATGCAGATTGTTGTGTAAAAAAAGTCAATTTACTATAGTTCAATGACTAAAAATGACTAACTTTCATTTGACATCAAGGCTTCTTCCCGAATAGCAAGTAATTTAAAAGACTCAGTAACCCCTGCAGAACATCTAGAATGGTTAATTACTCCTACAAGCAGGGCCACCATTGGGAAGGGAGGAGGGGGGGCGGGCAATGCTGTAATACAATTGACCTCGCCCCTTAACGAACAGCACTAACTGACCCCTTTTCTCTCCATGGTCTGTAATTGTTCTGGTGACTATAGTGTCCTTTTAATTCAAAATATAATGCATAAAAACAATGGACAGGCACTTGCAGAAATAAAACACAATCTAAGTGTGCTAATATCGCTTTGCTCCTTGGGGTCACTTATATCCAACCAGTCCCCCTCCTTATGGTCGAGTTGATTCCCAGTTATCCTTAAGAAGATCCTGGACCTGGCCTCAGAGACGTGTGTAAGGGAGAAAATCCTTCTATTGAAGATTGACAAATAAGCCAACCTGTTGGATTTATAGCTGCCATAATATACTTAATATACTGACTGTTGGCAAACAGCAACCATCAAAATAGAGTCACTATTGGCGATCTCTACCCCAGAAAGTAAATGGCCCATACCTGTTTGATAGAAGTAAATTTTTAAATAAATTTTGATTGAATTTTGTTTTTCAGTTGCTTATTCTAAGGGTTGTATTCTAAAGAACACTTTTGGGGGAGGAGCTTTTTACCAAGAAAATCAATTACATGTTCCTGGTACCTCTTTTTGTTTTCATGACGATTTCTTCAAATGTAGAACTTTACTCCACATGTGCCCCAGATTATCCTCATATTTCTGAATTAAAATATCTTGTTTTTGTTGCAGTGACAATTTCTTTTAAGCTTAAAGTAGTTGCGGGAAAAAAATATTGGAACAATAATTAAAAGAACCATCTATGCCAGTGGTAGTCAACCTTTTTCCACTTACCGCCCACTAATGCATCTTTCTTGATGGAAAAATTTCCTTACCGCCCACCAGTTTTCGCGCAAGCGCGGAATATTTTTTAGAAAGGAGGGTGTTTTAAAAAATACATAAATGAACGTACATTTATCTTTTTATTTCTACTTTATGCATGTTTATAATGTTTTTAACTTTATAAAGTTTAATGAGGAAGCAATAAAGTAAATTGAGCTTACCTTTACTAGTGATTAATGAGATCCTTGAGGTTGATGCTGCGAGACTAAATATTTGATATCTGGTTCGATTTTCATAAGGAACAAACGAAGGTCTCCTCTTTCAGTGATAATCGGAAGACTTCTTTGTTTGCTCATAAAATGATTTCTCATCTGTGCGTCAGCTCCCCTCCTCTCCCTCCTCAATTCCCCTTCCCACCTTTTTCCCCTTTTTTCTATTTTTTAACCTTCCTTATAGCAATGCCCAGTAGGAAGGCTGAGCTAGGTAGCCCACTTACTATTATTAGTCAACAACAATTCTCTCCTTTTCCTTTTCTTTCCTTCTCCTTTTTTACAAGTACTCTACTCCTTCTTTCCTCTATACTAGAAGTACTCTACTCCTTCTTTCCCCTATACTAGAAGAAGTACTCTACTCCTTCTTTCTCCTATTCTACAAGTACTCTGCACCTTCTTTCTTCTATTCTACAAGTACTCTGCACCTTCTTTCTTCTATTCTACAAGTACTCTGCTCACAGACAAACACATACACACACACACACTCACATAGAAACACATACACACAAATATACACATACTCACACATGCACTTACAGACACTCACACATGCACAGACAGACCCACAGACACACACACACTTACTGACACACACACATACACTTACAGACAGACACATACACTTACAGACAGACACACACATACACTTACAGACACAGACACACACATACACTTACAGACACAGACACACACATACACTTACAGACACACACACATACACTTACAGACACACACACATACACTTACAGACACACACACATACACTTAGAGACAAACACATATACACACAAATTATTAATATTAAATATCCACCCAGCCTCCCTACCTGGAGAGCTGGTGTGGATCTGTCCCTGGGGTCCAGTGGGGCTTCACTTAGGCGGGCGGCTAATCAGACGCAGCGAGGGAGCTCTAACCTCTCTGCTCTGCTCCCTCGCGGACTGTCTACGGATGCCGGGAGCCGGAATATGACATCATATTCCGGCTCCCGCGGCATCAGCAAACATCGCGCGAGGGAGCAGAGAGGTTAGAGCTCCCTCGCCGCGACTGATTAGAACGCTGCCATGCCGGGGGTCCAGAAGGTGGCCTGGCAGGAGGGAGCGCTTCCTCCTGCCGGTCACTGAAGACTTGCGCATGCAGAGCCGCTCGCGCCCGCCCAAAAGGAGAAATCCTCTTAAAAAGAGGATTTAGCCTCAGAAATCCCTACCGCCCACCTGGAATCCTAAAACGCCCACTAGTGGGCGGTAGGGACCAGGTTGACGACCCATGATCTATGCACCATGATCTCTATGGATCTATGTAGTTAGTTAGGGTGTCAGAAGTCCCCTGGTATAATTCCACCGTGCATAGTCAAACTGTTGAATGATTTGACACTTACCTGGGACCTGTTGTGCACCCATGCTATATCTGGAAACCCTTAACTAGCCAAGGCAAAACTCCTCATTTCATTTTACCCATGTCAACTTTGTGCTAATTTAGAGTTTGTTTATTCACTAAAAGTGTAAACTGACTGGTTTGACCTAATGTGTGAGTGTGCTCCAGGGAACTCCAGGCACCAAAACCATCACACTAGCTTTTAGTGGGTGTGGTGCTTGGGTTAACCATTTAATTCTATGAATAAACAAAATAAATTAAATTAAATATTATGCAAAGGTTTACAAAAAGCCAGCTCATTCATCTATTGCTTTTTTTTGTAGTTTTTTTTGAAGCAGTTGCCCCCAGGAAAATGAAAAACCTTCTCAGTGTCTTACATATTGCATTGGTCATCTTTATTGTGAGTATTTTATACATCTCCCATAACGGTACAAGAACTATTACCAAATGCAACATCATAACTATTGAACATTCACAACTTGAACAAACAGTGGCATTAATAGCCACTAAAACACCTCACACAGGTATGATGACAGTAAATGTTGCTGGACGCCTGGGGAATTTAATGGGGGAATATGCTACGGTCTATGGCCTTGCAAGACTTAACGGTTACCAAGCCTACATCTTACCAAAAATGCATGAGCAGTTATCGAAAATCTTTAAAATTCAACTGCCTGTGCTTAACCAAGAGGTCGCTGATCATATTAATTGGACAGATTACACAATACGTAATTTCATGTCTCCAGAGTACAAAAACATCCAAGGAGAGTATGTAAAACTGACTGGTTATCCTTGCTCTTGGAACTTTTATGACTATTTAAGAGATGAGATTTTCAAAGAATTCAGTTTTCATGAATGGATTAAAGAAGAGAGCTATGCTTATCTTGCTAAAGTACGAGGGAATAAGAAAAATGTTACCTTTGTTGGGGTGCACGTCCGCAGAGGAGACTATGTAAAGATTATGGAAAATAAGGATGGGGTTGTCGGTGATAAAGAATATTTGCAGAAAGCCATGGACTATTTTAGAAATAAATATCAAAACCCCATATTTGTAGTGGCCAGTAACGGCATGGATTGGTGCAAGGAGAATATAAACAATTCCGTTGGGGATGTCCACTTTGCTGGAGATGGCATAGAAGGTTCTCCTGCCCGTGACTTTGCCCTCCTGGTACACTGCAACCACACTATTATGACTATAGGAACATTTGGGTTTTGGGTTGGGTACATGACAGGAGGTGAAACTGTCTACCTTGCAAATTTCTCATTAACTGACTTCCGTCCCTACAGACGTATGATAAATGCAGCTTTTTATCTTCCTGAATGGATTGGGATTCCAGCAAACCTCTCTCACCTTCTGAAAAAGGACAACTCATAAGAAGATATCATAGAAGTTAAAAATGTATATATATTTATGGCCCAGAAAGACATTCTAGAGGCTACTTGAATATGTTGTGTTCGCTTGTTTGTTCATAAACATGTTCATAAATATCTATATAAAGTATTAAAACACGTATTTTTTCAGGATTGAAACACGTATTTTGCTCAGTCCTTAAGCATCAGATGAGATTTTAAAGGAACATGCATTAAAAACATTGGTACATTGTAATGTTTATTTTGGGGAATATGAAAAAAAAATTCTACTGTCTGTTTAATTGTAAAAACCTCTGTGCTGGAGCTGCCAACACACACATTGCTTCTTAATGAGCTATAGTACAGCTCATTGAGAATTAGTGAATCTAGGCTCAATATAGCCCAGCTCGCCTGTCACTTCCACTAGCTCTGTGTAGCTAAAAGAAGATGAAGAAAACCTTCCAATTTCCCCATAAACACCTTTAATTCTATGAAGAAAATAAATAAATAAATGAAAATAAATATTATGCAATGTTTACGAAAAAGCCTGCTCATTCGTGTATTGCTTATGGTTTGTAGTGTTCCTTTAAATTTAGTTGTAGTGCCAAAACGTAAGATCTTGTTTTCTGTTAACTGGTTATAATTTACATTGATTACAATAAAATGGTAAATATTCTATAAGTGGGGAAGAAAATCAATAAAGTCACTTTTTTTCCTAATCAATGAAAATTAATTTAAAATAAAAAAAGGCTCCTGGTACTTACATTCAAGGGGCAAATACAAGGAGCAAAAGGGGCTTTATACAGTGCTCTAATCTCAGCACCTACAGTGACCTTTACAGGTAGCACTTCACAGCCAAAAATGTTATATTCCTCCACAGTAGCTCACTTCAAGGAGGATTACACACAAAAAAAAAAAACACACACAAAAATACAAACAAACGGACATCAGGCATAGTTTTGCTCTGTTTTAAATAAGTGGTATAGGCAAAAAGACTAAAAACACTCACTTGGGACAGAGCCTGATAATTGGGGCTTAACAAAATCAAGCAGCAGTATTTTGTGTTGTAAACTCATTAAAAAAAATGTAGAGAAGACTCAGGGTAGGATTTACATCGCAAATAACTGTAGGCACGTAATTCTCCAATAGAAAACAGGGGGTAGGTACAGTGCCTAAATAGTCCTCGGTTTGGTATATGAAATATGGAGGGAGAAAACAGAGGGACACAATATTGTAGTATGTCAAAATAGGAATGTTGTAAATCAAAAAGTATAAAATGTGCCCTCACACTTTTAGAAGCTTCAATACAGCTCCAAATATTGCGCCTGAGCGAAATAATCCTCGCCTAAGGATCAAGTGAGAGTTGAGTTCTCCTTATATTCACAGCAGTGGGAGGTATTCTCCTAAAAGAGATTAAAATATTTATATAGTGAAGTATGTAGAGCTATGGAACAAGGGTAGGTGTAGATATAAAATGTGCACTCACATGTGATGAAGCCATAGATATGGCTCAAAGGAAAGCGTGTGAAGTGGTATGATCCCCACTCAAGGATACAGGTGTAGATGGTAGTTCTTGGTTGATGTGTATATATATATGGAGAAACGAATAAACCCACAATAGTGCACACTGTGATATAAGGTGAGATAGACAAAAGAAGTTAAAAAGGCCTACTCACATGCTAGAGAGCAAAGCATGGTTTGCTCAATCCAATGCTCGTAGGTGGTATAATCCCCACCAAGGATAAAGCTCAGAAATCCACCAAGGCGTGATATTTGGAGCTGTATTGAAGCTCCTAAAAAGTGTGAGTGCACATTTTATACTTTTTGATTTACATCATTCCTATTTTGACATACTACACTATTGTGTCCCTCCGTTTTCTCCCTTTATGTTACATGTACCAAACCGAGGACTATTTAGGTCAAGCATGTCAAACTCGCGGCCCGCATGCAGCCCACAATAGGCATGTGCATGGGAACATTTTCGGTTCGGTTCGGTTCGGCATTCCGAAATTCAAGACATCGGCAATTCGGCACTTTGGCAATTCGGCACTTCGGCACTTCGGAACTTCGGCAACTTCGGCACTTCGACACTTCGGAATTTTGGAACGTCTCTTAAAGCCGCTTGGTAGATAACTCCCTAATTCTCACGGTACTAGGGAGTTATCTACCAAAAGGCTGAAAGACCTAAATTGGTTGTAACGGATCGCCTGGCACCCCGACTGGGTACCTCCGTTGATGGATGCTACTAGCGCTTCCTGAGGACTCCAAGCACTCTGGCAGACACCACAATCACCAAACCGGAGAACAAATAAATTCTCCCAAGAATATGAATGCTGTAGACAGTTGAATAGGTTTACCCTCCTAGCAGTCAAACTGGAACAGCATACAATAAATCCTTCCCCCAATAATGAGACGACACTTCACTTTGAGGGTTAAACAGGAACTCCTGTGCTGGCACACCCAGCTTGGTTTTTATTACAGCCTTTCACATACAGGACCGCCCACAGGGAGGTATAAAACAACCAATCACATATCAGTTACATCCCACATATTCCCTCCCCTTATCCTGAGAGTAAACTCAATTACACATACAGTTAAAACATACTTTCTACCCAACTTTCATAACTTTAAAACCATACATCACATTTACATAAAATTACATATTCACAATCAATCCATTCAGGGGAACAACATATTAAAAAATGGCATGAATCCGACCAGGGGTTCAAAAGTTAGTAAAAGTATCTTTTGGGCCCTGGCTGGCACATTGCTATCTGGCTCAAACAGGTTTTACAGAGCCCTCTATCCTGGAGACAATGGGGGAAAGTAATCCAATTATCCAGGGATAGAGGCAGACTCCATTGAGCACATGGTTGCAAAAAGACATAAAACACTTTAAAATACATAAAGTCACCTTTTACACATAACACACAGACATTTCACATATCCCCAGATAGCTTTGATCTGAGCGCACAAAACTACCGAAGAGCGCTCAGATCCTATTCACACAGTTCAATTGCCATGGAGCCGAAGTCTTTAACTACACGAATGGGCTCCATGGCATAGCTATCTGGGTTAACATATTCACATAAAGTCTGGTCCATAGTCCAAAGGCAAGAGGCGGGCAAGCAGCCCCCTCCAAGGACACGTGGCGAGGCCGGTTTCGCCACATTGGTCTTTCAGCCAAATTTACTAATACTAAGTAAAAATTACTTAGTATTAGTACATTGTGCACCGACTCGCGGTTTAGCATGTCTATTAAACAGTAAGCAGACAGTTAAAAAAAAAAAATGAAAAAAATGGGCCCTATTGCCCCCCCAGCCCCCACCCCTTAGGTGGGGGCCCTAAATTAGAATGAGGGCAGAGGACCTAATGTCCATCCCCCTTGCCCCCACCCCTGAGCGGTGGGTGGGGGCCCTAAAATACTAATTAGGGGGGACCTAATGTCCTCCCCAAAATACTTAACCCCTACCTACCCCCCTCACCCTAAAAATAATGAGGGGGTACCATTTAACTAAGTACCTGAAAAAAATAAAAATAAAACTTACCATTTGATGTTTTCTTTCTTCTAAAATCTTCTTTTTTCAGCCCCAAAAAAGGCCAAATAAAAAGCCATAATAACCGACGCACTTAAAAAACAAACAAAAAAGAAGGGGGCGCAAAAAAAATAATAATCCATCTTCACCCATGGAGGGCTCAGCAGGGCGGGGGAAGGCTTATAAAGGTCCCCCCCCAATTAGTATTTAGGGCCCCCACCCACCGCTCAGGGCGAGTAGGGGCATAATTTACTAATACTAAGTAATCTTTACTTAGTATTAGTAAATTTGGCTGAAAGACCAATTTAGGTCTTTCAGCCTTTTAGTAGATAGCTCCCTAATACCATGGGAATTAGAGAGTTATCTACTTATTCATTCCTGTCATTGCATTGACTGGCTAAGTAACTTACGTTTCATTTGAATGTATGTTACTTGATTGTTGTAAGTGTTGCAAATGCTTACAACTGAATCCTGGCTATGTTTGTATACTTTTTATTTAAAATTGTATACATTGTAACATTCTTCTTCTAACACATATTAGTACTTAGGCAATACTGTGCTTCGGCACTTCGGCAACTTCGGAACTTCGGCACGTCAGCACTTTGGAACTTCTGCACTTCGACACTTTGGAAATTCGGTAATTTCGGAACTTCGGGACTTTGGTAATTCGGCACTTCGGCTATTCGGACATTCGGAAGTTCCCGAATGTCCGAATTACCCGAAATTCATCCAAATTCATTTTCGGCCCGAAACAAATTGTACATGTCTAGCCCACAATAAATATCTTTGCGGCCCAGCGAGCCACGAGTTTGACATGATTACTAAGGCAGAGTAGGCACCTGCTCTCCCCACATTGCAGGTGCCTACTCTGCTAAAATTTACCTGGCCGGGGAGGAGAAGTCCTTGGCAGCAGCGAGGGAGCTCAGTCTTCCCTTTTCCTCACTGCTTCCTCTTGTGCGTCCTCTGTAGTGATGCCGGGTGCGGAACTGGCATCACTAAATTGCGTGCGTGAGGGAGCAGTGAAGAGCAGGAAAACTGAGCAGATAGCTGTGTTCAGTGTGAGGGGGCGTGGTCATGCACAGATAGCTGTATTTAGTGTGAGTGGGCAGGGCCTAGAAAAGATCACTGTGTTCAGCCTGAGGGGTCGGGGCCATGATAGAACTATAATATAACAAGTGAAAACAGGCGCTTATAGTAGTGATAGTGTCGGGGCCATGCACAGATCACTGTATTCAGTCTGAGTGAGCGGGGCTATGCACAGATCAGGGTCCCTCAGACTGATTACAGTGATCCCAGAATCCAGCAGCCTGCATACTGGTCAGCAAACAGCAGACACCTTGCCCTCTCTGCTGGAGATCATTATGTTATATCTGAGGGCCAAAAGGTCACATTACCGTGTAATGAACTTTTGGAACAAGTATCCCTGGAGTAAAAGGAGGTGCCAGAAACACAGGACAAAGTTCATGAAAATTCCAGACGATGGTCAGGTTGGAGATAAGCTTATTCATAAACTGTAACCACTTTCTGTTGTTTTGAACACTAAGATCTTAACAATAATTGCATGAGTTTAAAGGACCACTATAGTGCAAGGAAAACATACTCGTTTTCATGGCAATATAGTGCCCTGAGGGTGCCCCCACCCTCAGGGTCCCCCTCCCGCCCGGCTCTGAAAAGGGGAAAAGGAGTAAAACATACCTTTTTCCAGCGCTGGGTGGGGAGCTCTCTACCTCCTCTCCTCCTCCGATCCGCCCCGTCGGCTGAATGCGCACGCGCGGCAAGAGCTGCGCAC